GAGAGAGAGAGAGAGGAGAGAGAGAGAGAGAGAGGAGAGAGAGAGGGAGGAGAGGGGAGAGTGTGAGAGGGAGAGAGAGTGTGAGAGAGAGAGAGAGTGAGAGAGAAGAGAGTGAGAGAGAGAGTGAGAGTGAGAGAGAGAGCGAGAGAGAGAGAGAGAGAACAAATCAAAGAAACCTTTGTTTCTCCATAGAGAGGCTAAGCAGGTAGTGAAATGATGCTGGGCCTAGGGATAAACTCGCCAAACCCACCCGAATCCTCTGTGACCGGGGCCTAAATGGAGATGCAGTAACGTATCGGTAGCTGGACAACTTGCTAAACCTCTGGAACATACAAGTAATCTACATTTCTTCTAGAACGTGGCATACAACACTGAGTACTGATCTGGTAGTGTATTTTCCGGAGTATGAGCGGCACTGGAACAAGCCACACCCAGGTTTTTTTGTCGCGAAATACAGACATCTACCCTGCTTATCACCGTTAATTTATTTGACCATCGTAGTACAAGCCGCACCGTCTTTTTTGGTTGAATTACTGGTGTATTATCCGTATTATCCGTATTCACATGGCCTTTGCAATTCATTCAGTATATTAACGTCATCAATAATGATATTCTTGTTTGTATTAGTTTATGTGACACCATTTTCTATTTTTCTTTGCCTGCCTGCCTGCTGGTGGCCTTTTTTCGCATGGTTCGGTGCAAGCGAATTTGGGCGAGCCCATTGACGCGGGAGCACAAATAATAATAATAATAATAATTACTGGTGTTCAAAGTGTGGCTTATACTCCGGAAAACACGGTAGTCACTAAAAAAGATCTGTTCACAAGCGATTGCAGGGTCCATACACGTGCCATGTACCCAAGCTTTCTCAACATTTTGATCGGAATGGTCAACACCGAGGAGATCACCCAGGCATGCCACACGGTGACGTGGAGTACTGGTAGCAGCAGCAGGGAACATAGTCACTCACCCTCTTCCTTAGCAACTAGCTTGGCAAAGAAGTGATCGCCGGCGACCGCAATGCGGCACTGCACTTTGAGAAGGAGATCGGGGCTGTCGGCGCGGCGAGAACGGCCACCGCCTGTCTTGCTCCATGCCCGCCGAAAGTGCTCCTCTGCAATGGTTTGTGCGTCGATGGGCCGTCCCTGAAGCAATTTCTCGTGATCCACGTCACTCTCCCTGTACATGATGGAATGGAACGGCTGCAGTGTAGGAAAGTATGCTGCGCTGGGCTCAACATGGTAGGTTTCTTGACTAGCACGAATGACGCCACGAAAGCGGCCGGCACTGATAAACCCGTGGACATGGCTTTCTGCATCGCCATGAATTGATCCGGCCAGCTGATGAGATGAATCAAACTCAAACGGCTGGCCATCACCAGCCTGATGGGTAACGGACGCAGGCAAAATCTCCTGATCTTCCGACAGCACAAGGCGAAATACTCTATGGAAAACGACAAGCAGAAGAAGAAGAAAAGAGAACAGTCATACCGTACTTCTGCACATATAAGCGCATGTGCTTATGTCCGGACATAAGCGCACCCCCCCCCCCCCCCCCCCAATTACAAGCGCATGTGCTTATATGTGAACACTATTGGTGAAAAGGCGGGGACTGAATATACCACTAAGCAGTGTGATAACACCATTGTTTAGAACACAGACAAACCTTTATTGCACATATAAGCGCATGGGCTTCTACCCGAACAAGTTTACACAGCCAAAAATATTTTTTGCAGAAAATTTTCGCTTATAAGCACATGCGCTTATATGTGGGGAAGTACGGTACATTGTATCATATTCAGATCATGACAGCAGCACTCAGCTAGACACAGAGAAAGAAAAGAGACATCGAATGAGAGTGACCGACAGCTACCGGTAGTAATGTTTGGACAAATACATGGCTTCAACAGACAGACAGACACACACACACACACACACAAATGCAAAGTATCCAATGTTGTACGCGACCATCCACAGGACTTGCTTCATCACCAGGCTATCTCTCTTTTCCTCCCCGCCCCCCCCCCCCCCTCACATACACACACACACACACACACACACATACACACACACACAGACCTGTCCAAACATGCAGGCTATTGCAATGTGTGTAGATGCATGAAGCACTATTGTGAACATTGAAATCCATTGAGAAGTCAAGAGGCCACGGGGCGCTGGCCTTGCAGCCGTGAGCACTGCTACATGCCGGTCCACACCTACAGTGTGAACGTTAGGGGTGAAACGAGGGTGTTAAAGGTTCGAAGAACCTTCGTTTTCATTTGAAACAAACCTCCATTATCAAAAGAAGGTCAACACACGATTACTGCGTGCACTGATCTTCACTGTAGTGGTGTACACTGCACTGTACTACAAGTCTGTAGCCTGTACATTGCACTGTACTACGTACTAGTCTCTAGTCTCTAGTCTGTACACTGCACTGTACTACGTACTAGTCTGTAGTCTGTACAGTCGACTACAAGTCTGTTGCACTTGGCTTCCGGCTAGTGCCACTGCATATGCACAGTAGTAGGCCACGTAACAGGCGGCATTCACGGCCATGCTGCGCAGAAGCAGCCTTGGGAAGCCAGGGGTGCAAACTGCGCCGTGCAAAAGCTATGATTGTGTCACCGTTCTGGTGACTGCACAGCAAAATTACTTATGGGTACAGTCATAAAAAAAACTGTGAACTGGTAAAAAGAATATTTCGACACTTTCGCGTTCGTTTTGATGAAAAATGCTCGTTTGGCAAAGGGTGACCTTCGTTCACCCCATAGTGAACGTGAACTACAGTCCATTCATAAAAAGGTGGGCCCTGGCTCTGGCGAGCTCCCGTATTTGGCGATTTTTCGTGATTTCATCGTACACAGTGCAGTGCTGCGAACTCTGAAATTTGAAAAAGGGTCCAAAAAGGGTGCCTGAACTGGGGTGCGAACCGCAGAATGCACTGTTAACATGTTGCAGGCGCGGTCAAACGGCCTGGATTTTGATGGTTTTTCCCAATTCAGTGCTTTTGGGGCAAAACCTGGCCGAAATCCTATTCTTGCTATGGCTTGCTTTTTGGACCAAAAAACTTCAGAAACATAATTGGAAGAGGATTCCATAGGGGATTGCCAAAAAAATTCTAAAAAAACTCAAAGTTTGACCCATTTATGGCCAAAAGCTAGAAGTCCATCTTTTTCTGAATGGACTGTACATGCATACAGTGTACTCAATCTGCGGACAGAACTGTTTCGTCCTTTTTGGACTCGTCAGCGCAGCACAGAGGAAATGAGGCCGAACCTGATAGCAATGGAAATAAAAATTACAGTGTATGTATGCGCTAAGGCAGAAAGGGCACCGGACCCGGTCATGCCACCGGATCTCAATGTCCACAGCAGTAGATCCAGTACATACCTGCCAAAAGCGAACAGGTCCAGTGAAAACAGCGGTCGGTTGACATCATTGGCTTCACTTTTCCACATCGCGAATGAGTTTTCAACTCTGTCCAGGTCATAATTGATGGGCTCATAATGTGAAACATACTCATTCAGCGGTCCTGCATGCAGCACACAACACAAGAAAATGATAATATTATTATTAAAAAAGAAAATAGTACAACGTAGCTTTCTGAGGAGTGTTGTGCGAAAACTAGTTCGAAGTATTTTTTTTGTTCATCATTTCTTCCATATCACATGACTGTGTTTCTCGTTCCCTGTTCTTCACCGCCTTCATATCCACTCATTTTGAATACAATAAAGCCTTTGTGAAATGTCGGTTCACCTCGTTCTGTTGATCGCAATTATAAAATTTAATTTATCCCAGAAATTAAACTCGACCTTCGTAGTATACGAGCGGAACAGTGCAAGGTGCTCACAAGGTCACAACTCGGTGTTGCCAGTCCCCAAATTACACACTTAACCACAGCTAGACTACTGCAAGGACTCTGCCTATGTCTGCATACAACTGGTGAGTACTAGTACAGTCAACTTCGCTTATAACGACACTCGGCGGGGCATCAGAAAAGTGTCGTTATTCGCGAAGTGTCGTTATATCCGAAGTCTCATTATATGTGTCACAGTTGGATGGGACTTTGCTCCGGGCATGAAAATTATGTCGTTATTCGCGAATTGTCGTTATATCCGCAGTCGTTATTAGCGAAGTTGACTGTATCGTATTTAATATAGACATATCCGCGGCGAGCCGCTTATGTACAGCGGCAAGGGATACTGGCGAGTAAGCGGTCAGCAAATGACAATAGAGAGGTTCCGCATAACGTAATTACGTTAGTAAAAAACGTAGTCGATCTACGGAAAGTCTTACGTAAACTGCATGCGGATCTGGGTTCCGCCATACGGAGTTTTCAAATCACGTAGCTGCCCTTGGCAACTCCGAACGCGGCAGTGTACGACCAGATCGACATGGGGAGAGAGTCATAAATTTGTACCCAATCCATTAACGGACCAGCTACGTTATCAGAGCCCTATCTACGTACTCTCCGTAGACAACTTTCCGTAGGTGGAGTGCAAACTCGCGAATTCACGGGTTTTTCCCGCCCTCTAACGTAAAGTTGCTCAACTTTACGTAGTGCGGAACCTCTCTAATGGTACTGCCATGTCTTTGTCCGGGAATGCTCAGCACTAAGGCGTGTACATACGTAAGGTGTGTGACCCCCCCCCCCCCCCTTCCCATCCTACTAATAGCAAGAGTACATAACCCCCAAGAGTTTGAAACGCCTGATCCAGCTCTGCACAGGGTCTTGGTCGAAGGTATACTGGGACCTTCTGATGTCATGCGTACACTCCACACCAGCGCAAGGCCGGTCTCGAGGCAGGGCCAGGGCACCGTTGTTTTTGATCCGAGAGTACCCGCGACTCCCCAGGTTCCCCTCAAATGTGTATGGTATTATGACGCAAAGATCCGATTATGCTCGACCAAGACCCTATGCAGAGCTGGATCAGGCGTTGCACACTCTGGGGGGTTATGTACTCTTGGTAATAGCAAGAGTACAATCGTCATAACCCCCAAGAGTGTGCAACTGCCTGCACAAGCTCTATGTAGTGCTGCATGCTACGGCAGAACTTCACATCACGTGACATGGTTCAAAAGGTTACACTGGCAAACAGTGCAAAGTGACCACAAGAGAGCGCACCCAAAGCTGGGTTGCGTACAATCCTGTATCAATCATGCACAGGGTGCAAATAATGTGTACGGGTTCATCACGTGATGTGAAGTTCTGCGGTCAGATCAGACCCCATAGTTGCAGTGGCGTGTCCAGGATTTGGCTGAGGGGGGGTTGCGGCCGGGATCAAGGCGGGATGGGGTGGGGGTAGATGACATCATGCTACTGTCCCAGGTCAGCCATTTTGAAAATCAATGTCAAGAAGCTCCTCCTGTAGCCCCTTCTTCAACAGTTATTCACCCGAACGGCCCCAGAGATTGTTCCGGAGGATCAGCGCACCACACGGGGACAAGTGTCGAACTTGCTACAAGTCCCCACGGTGGGCCTGCGGTACGATCGAGCATGATGTTTTGGGGAAGCATTCTCTGGAACGCTCTCCCCTCTGATTTTAGAGTGATACGTGTCCCTGGTCCCTTCCGAAAAGCTCTTTCTGCCATTGATATACTTACTTTGTTCTCGTTAAACTTTTATTATCTGCCATAAATTCCAACCTTCTCATCTATCAATCATTTGTGCATGCATGTCTATAAAATCAACCACGTGTTCCTGACTCGATGAGATTGTCTTTCTATTCTTTGACTCCATGAAATTATTGTCTTTCTATTTCTGACTCCATGAAATTGTTCTTGATATAAATTTTTCCCTTTCTTCTTTTGGTCCTTTCTGTCTTATAAGTAGTTAGGCCAAACTAAAGAAGGTGTGTGGTTCGACTCACCCGACCGACCGTACAATTTCAGCCCGACCGTAACTTTTTTTCGGCGGGCTATCGTGTGACTGACGTACGTGGACTGAACACGTCCACGTCTACGTGCTGTGCGGCGTGAGTCTGCGGACGCAGGCGGCTCCTTTTGGACTTGACTTGTAGTTGTACTGCAGTGCAGTGCAGTGAGTGGTACGACTGCTGCCTTGTGCTGGTAGTAGAGTCTACTCGATACGCGTATACAGTGTATTTACATGTACTAAAAATATATATTAAAAAAAAAAAATCCGCCCGCCCGCCCGTAAAAAAAATGTCCATGTTAGTCGAACCACACACCTTCTTTAGTTTGGCCTTATTATTATTATTATCATTAATTTTCTTGTTTTCCCTTGCATATCATCCCTTCATCATTCTGTGAGAACCTGTCCTATGCCGGGGCAGGTGAGAAGGCATCTCTGTCTGTTCATTTGGTGAAGTAAAAATAAACAACAACAACAAGCCGTAAATCTCACACACCACGACTCACGAGCAGTATTTCTGTACACGCAGCAACAAATGTACATTGTAAACTTCAAATTTGCCGTTATGTGAGCGAATCAACTGCTTTTTTCTTTTGTTTTAATATGCGAGTCCAACAATTTCTCACCGCTCTCAAAGCATCCTTTACATAGGCAGCGGTACTTGTCACTGTGCGCTGTTCTTTATGTTCTGGCTGCTCGCTGACAACAGGTTCTTCCACGTCTGGCGGAGTTTGACTGTCAGTCCGCTCCGAAAGTTCAACTGGATTGTCTGGAATAACAGCGACTTCATCACTCCCACTGTTTCCTGTTGGAGCGGCAGCAGGAGTTGCGCCGCCACAGGAACGCTTTACAAAAATTCCAGGCTCTGCTGGCTAGAGCTTGGCCTTTTGGGATGTCCCTGAGACATCGAAGAAAAGCCTTCGAGTCAACCAAAACACGATTCGAACGAGGATGATCGCCTGAGCCCTCGGCATTCGAATCGTGTTTTGGTTGACTCGATCGAAGACTTTTCTTCGATGTTTGTACCGTTGAAGACGCGTCGAGCGCGTCCCAGCAGGGATCACACTGTACAACAGTACACAGTCAGGCCACCGTGTTTCTGTACTGTAGCCGTGCATGCTCACTGTACGTAGACTCTACTCTGTCTCTAGCTCTGTAGTCTGTGTAGACTGTACAGTGTACTCGTACTGTACTAGCACCGTGCAACCGCTTTTGGACAATCGTTTCAGGCCGCGCGGCGCGCGCGCCCCGAGCCTAGTCTAGCTCGACCCGGCGCGCGCCCTGTATTATTTTTCGAAACCTAGGTCGAAATTTTTGAGGGGGGGGCGCGCGCCCCCCGCGCCCCCCCCTAAACCCGCCACTGAGTTGGAGTTGCACACTCTTGGGGGTTATGTACTCTTGGTAATAGCAAGAGTACTAGTACCGTAAAGTACCGTTGATCCGCTCCCACGCCATGTCGCTTCCCTGGGTTTTCGGCAGGGGGCGGGAATTAGATCAAGGCTGTCAAGTGCAGTACGATGTACAACAACGTAGAGGATCAGACTCAATGTGCTGAATTGTGCACATTTTGATCCTGGATTGGCAAGTATTGTGTACAGCAGTGCATGTGTCGGTTCAACATCGTATTTCGTTGTATACGCCGAAGTCGCTTCACAAGGAGAAAATCGACAGGGGGCGGGAATTAGAGAGGGGGCGGATCAACGGTACTTTACGGTACATGAAAACCAGAGTGTGCAGCTCGGATGGGTTGCTGTCACGGCGGAATTCCGTGATTACATCATTTTAGTGATGTGATGCGTACGAGCAGGATTCAAGCAAGTCTCTTTCTGCACAACTGCAGCTCAGTTGTACGCACTACGCCATTTCCCGCCTCAGATCTGTGCCAAATATGATGTAATCATGGAATTCCGCCGTGACAGACACCCATAGTAGAAAAGGCCCCAAGCTGCACACACTAGTTTTCATGTACTCTTGGTAATAGGGCTTGAAAGTGCTACGTCACAGCATAGCACCAATTTCAAAAATCCAAAAACTGGATCCACATAGATCCAGCTTCTGTATGTTTGTATGGATCCAAGCACATTTCAAGCGGTTTTACTCACAGCAAGGTGATATAGCCGGTGAAATTGACTGATTTGGCTTATGGGGGTGGGGTGACAACTGGTGGCGAAGTAAAAGTCACACCTGCATGCGACCTGAGTGGGTTGCTATGCACCCACATACTGAGGCAATAGCAAAGTCACACCTTAGTGGATCCAAAAGTAGAAATCTGATGTGAACTTACTACTCCCTGGACGTTTTGACGTCATCACTTTCGAGCCCTATAGGCTATAGGGATTTCATGAGTGAACTGGTCCGACAAGCTGTATCCCATACTCCCCCCCCCCCCACATACGTACACCACACACACACACACACACACACACACACACACACGCACACGCACACGCAAACGCGCGCACACACACACACACACCTGACCTGACCTTTGACCTTTGACGCCCATCGCCGGAGGCGATGATAGCAATGCTACGGCAGAAGCCATAGCAACTTGTGCTGGGACACACACACACTGTCACACACATACAAACACACACACACACACACACACACACAACCACCACCACCACAACCACCACCACCACCACCACCACCACCACCACCACCACCACCACCACCACCACCACCACCACCACCACAACCACCACACATATTTCCCAGACTATTCTGTGGTAGTGTTACAGGACGCGATACGTGACTTACTGTGCGTTGTGAGTGCCAGGCCAGTGCTGGTCATCAGAGCCAGAGCACAGGTCACCAGTAGGACCACCACGCTAGGTACAGTATGTTGCAGTGATGATGGAATCCTCATCGCCCTGCCCTGGCAACAAGTAGACTGGCCAGTGGTAGCAGGGTTCATGTTCACATTACTGCCAATGACGCTACTGTCAGCACTTCCACAGCCACATTGGGTTTCAGCGCTGCAATCGCTAAACTGGTCGCTTCGGATTCTTTTGGTTGGATGGGAATTTACGACCTTGATGTCTCGGCTGAATTGGCTTTCCTGGTACTGAAACACGTGCATGCTGCTGCAGGCGAAAGCCTGATGAACCACAGAGGTCCACCTACTTGATTCCGGATGGGAACAGCCCACCGGGCCAGTGTCAGGCCGGCTGGGCTGTGCGCGACTGCAGTGTCCTGCCTGCTTCCTGTCAGCACACGTATATCCGTGCACACACTGAGACAGACTGACTCACTGACTGCACGCCTGTCACGGATTACAGACACAACACTCTCAACACGACAACAGTCAACAGGGGAGCATTCGCCGCATTTCCACCCAGCCAGGTCTGCTAGTGCTAGCACTGGAGATCGAGAGCAGAGATCTACGGTTGGCTGTTTCCGTCCTATGAGGCTATGAGCCAAGATCGGAATTGACCGATGGCCGTCCGGCGTCGACGGGTTCAGAAGAACTAACTACAAATTATTATAATGAATAGTAATGTTACTTCAGAAGAAACCCGCAGTGTTTGTGAGCTGATTTCCTTTACCATAATGCCATAATGGGAAGTGGTCGTAAGTGAACCCCTTTCTTTGCTTTGGCTTCCAATTTTGGCCATAAATATTTCAAATCCATAAATAATGACCAGACCATAATGTCAAGAGTTCATAACCCCGGGCCCGCGGGGGGTTATGAACTCTTGATGATGTCTAGCGATGACGTCGCGTGGTACAGGTAGAAGTCGACGTGACAGACTCGACACACCCTCGACCTCGTACTCGTAGATCCACGAGTCGTAGTCGTAGCTCTACCGACCGTACCGCTCAGTCTGCACACTGCACTGCAGTACTGCGACGCATAGCGTTGTTTGGTAGATGACTTTTGTTCTTTTGATTTTGTTTTTTTTGAGAAGTCCACGATTTCCTGAACCTTTCTTCGAAGCTAGCTCGTACGTTGTGTTATTAGGTCAGTCAGGATGAGCTTTATTTACAGAAGAGTGATTTCCTTCTTGGATCCGCGTATCCCGAACAAGATGAGGCCGATCTGGGAACATCCTGCGGGTGAGGCGAGGCCTTCTTGAAAAATTATTCTCTTTCTGTGGAAGGAACAATGTGCAACTGGAAGCTCATTGAAACATAATTATGTCTTCCCTCAGACATACGAATGATTTGACGGTGAATGTGCACTCTGCAAGTTATGCTACGGCTATTAAAAAACCCTCCCGTTGCTGCTGCTTTTTAAATAGGCGTTTGAGAGAAAGAGCAGATAAAAGATTCCACAAACACGTCTTGTCATCGCACCCAATATACATGCACATGTCGTGTACGTACATTTTACTCCTGATATAGCAAAGACCAATGTGCATGAGATTTAGTTCTTTATAGCTAAAGTTCTTTACAACAGAACTGCACTCACACATACAAACTGCGCATCGTGCATGACATGTGGCCTGTGACTACACGATCGCACTTGATTTACGTGCTCCCCTACAGTAATGAAATGGTCCATTACAAACGAAAACAGCTCGCTCCAAAGGGTCAATGCTGTATGGGTTCAAACAGGGACATGAAACACTTCCGCCACATCCCGATTTTGCGGTAGTACGGTTGCGTTCCCCCGTTCCTGATGTTCGCACTAATCCACCCGTCGCCGTCATGAGTGCCCCATCATTCTTACATCCTGTCAAATGTGAACCAGGCTATAGTCATAGGTGATGGAAATTCTTCGATGGTTTATCCTATTCTTGTACTGTAGCCCCAAGACACTTGGACATGTGAAAACAGGTGGATGCCTTGAAGTATACCGGTAGCTTACATTTGAACAAACACAACTGTACAGTGTAATGCGGTACCAAGAGTACATAACCCCCCAGAGTGTGCAACGCCTGATCCAGCTCTGCATAGGGTCTTGGTCGAGCGGAATCGGATCTTTGCGTCATAATACCGTACACATCTGAGGGGAACCCGGGGAGTCGCGGGTACTCTTGGATCAAAAACAATGGTGCCCTGCCTCGAGACCGGCCTTGCGCTGGTGTGGAGTGTACGCATGACATCAGAAGATCCGATTCCGCTCGACCAAGACCCTATGCAGAGCTGGATCGGCGTTGCACACTCTGGGGGGTTATGTACTCTTGGCGGTACTAATACCACACTTACAGATATTAGCAAACATGCCAGGTTCACCTACTTACGCCACATGTTCATGAGCGAATGGCAGACAAGTGAAGCCACGGGTGAAGGAATTGCAGATGTACCGTACCTTTCTTTTTTTCTTGCGTGAATTTCATGATGATTGTAATGGCGGCATCTTTTATCTCATTTATTGGTATACTGATGATGCTAGCTTCTGTTGCTGTGTTTTTCCAGGGTTGAAAACGGTTCATTTCTGGGCACCGACGTTTAAATGGGTTAGTATCATCCGGGAACAGCCTGACTTTAGGTCATTTTTAATACTTGTTGAATGATGTTCTCTTGGATTTTACTTCTATGCAATTGGTTTCGTGGTGTTGCTGGCTCATTACTACTGGTTCAATAGGACTTTTTTGTTTTGTTTGTGGGGTATGGAATAATTATAATCCCTGCGTCTGCTTTGGCTTCTTAAGAGAGTAGAATGTGCTCTAGTATCTACTATGGTATGGTGTGCGATACCTGGACCCGTAAACAACGCTGGTGCCGTCACGATGGATGCTTTACTCCACATCTACTCTTTTTCCACTTGTTTGTGCTTAATCCGGTGCTATCTGGTGTTACTGGTGTCTGTGCACAGGGATTAGTCATAGCTGGGATTGCAGATATGGCTCGACCTGCTGACAAACTCAGCGACTTTCAGTCCACAGCGCTTGCTGCGACTGGTGAGTTTGGTTGTTTTACCATGCTTGGCTGTCGGTGGATTTTGGTAGCATCCAATTTGTTAGCATGAGGTTTGGGTTAGAAATTGTTTTTACTTTTTAGTGTTCTCTCGACGTACACACATATACAAGGTAACACTACAACTTTTGCTATTGATTGTCATCTGGAGATATGCCTTGTGTTTTGTGGTATGAGTAGCTCTGTCTATTGAATTACATGTAACTTCAGTGGGCAGTAATTTAATATGGGGAAGCATGAGTGATCACTAGGATCCTCTTCAAGTTTGTTTGTGTGTTTGTACATGACATTGTGTTACATCTGTTTTTCTGTGCAGGTACCATATGGGCTCGCTACTCGCTAGTCATCATTCCGAAGAACTGGAATCTGTTCGCAGTGAATCTCTTCGTTGGAACTGTTGGCTATATTCAAGTTTATCGCATCTATCAGTAAGTAGTGTGTGTGTGTGTGTGTGCGTGCGTGCGTGTGTGTGTGTGTGTGTGTGTGTGTAGGTGGGTGTACATCTAGTGTCTGCTTATATCAAAGCAGCATGCTGTCTATACCGGTTACCCCAGCAAGTGTAGGTTGTGCATAGGTACTAACTGTCTTGGCCGTTCTATGCCGATGTGCTCCGTGTGGTGTAGACTAGGTGTGCATTGGTGGTCAATTCACATGGCTTCGCAGGTTGTGTGGATTGGGTAGTAATCTGGCGCTAGTCTTGATCTGTCTCATTCAGATCTTGTCCGCTATCGTTGCTATAAGAGAAAATCTGTAGGTGCGTATCCAATGCATTTGCAGATTTGCGAGCTTCTCTTGCGACAGGCTTATAACGTTACATGGTACATGGTATGCACGTGTGTGCAATGTGGCAATGCTGACATGGACTTGTACCAGGATACGGGAGGCTGGGTAAAAAAAGGGCTGAGTGTAATTTCAAGTATTGTGCCGAGAAACTCAACTTTCCACTGCCAATGTATGTATGTGTACATGTATGTGTATCCCATAACCATTCTGGTCATAGGGGTGTCCAATGTGGCTGTATTAACTGGCTCATAAATCGGTCACTTGTTGTGTGTGTGTGTGTGTGTGTGTGTGTGTGTGTGTGTGTGTGTGTGTGTGCATGCGCGCGCGGATATGTATGCGGATATGTGTGTACAATAACTACAATTTACCGTGGCATGCTGGTGCTGCTGCTTCTGCTACTACTGTGTAACAGGCACAAGAAGCCATTGGCACCTCCGGATGCTTACTTTTGGAATGTGATCCGGTTTGTGCCTGTCAAGAGTGAAGAGGTTGCCAAAGATGACGAGTCATCCAGTGCATCCAATACCCCACTGCCAGTAGAAGCTAGCGACGAGAAGCAATGAAGTAATGATGGCAGCGCGTAACAGTTAAAGCCAAAATCGAGCATCGTTCTGCACTTTGGCTAGCATGGAGTGCACACTCGGGTATTTGAGGCACGCTCCATGTCTCCACCTCTGACACATTGTCTTGGTGACAGCTAGTGCTTCTCTCTCTCTTTGTTTGGTCCCTGGTTGCTTCAGTGACATCTAGCTCGCTGCTTGGTCACATGCATGTAGACGGTGTGCATTGATATCGTCTTTTATTCACAACTATTTTCAACCAATATCTCAAAACTATCCTGTCGAACTCTGCTTCGGACACAATCATATCCTCACTTCGTCATGAAATCTCACCCATCCAAGCTAGTTTAGATGATATCTCATGAAACTCTGTTATGCTTTCTTTTCTCCGCACGGCGGCTCCACTGTGGCTGTATTTATACAGTTCATAGTAAGTTTTTTTGTTTGTTGATTAATTGATATGCCCATTTGCCTCCTCGCTAGATGTTGAGTGTGTTGCATTGGCACGTTTACGAAATGTTGAATTATTTTTCAGCCTGCACGTGTATTTCAAATTCTTTACCACTAGCTGTGCAGAGTTTAGGGACAGTATTCTTCCCATTTTATATCATCACTGGTTACAATTGTGTAGGTATGTGAAGGAGTGAAGATCGAAAGGCGGCAATCACGCAGCGGCATGTTCCCAGAGCGCTTTCCTTGGGTGCCCTGTAACAAGACGGCCTTTGGACAATCCTTAAATAAAAATCAATCAAGACGCACAGTCTGTGGGGACCGCCCTGATAAAATAGCAAATGCAACCACAACGCAGCAAGCTTCAAACATCCGCCACCTTGCACCCAGTGAGCAGGGAGCAGTATCTGCATGTGAATTATAATGTATCTGGGTGGAAATTAGAATACCAGGGAGTTATATTAGTACAACTTTCTGCGACGCGATTTGCGAAGTTGCGACAAGAAACTGCCTGTCGTGAGCTGTCACAGAAGTTGAAGAAAGTTCAACTTACTTTTGTGACATGTGACACGCGACATACACAAATGGAGTACAGTTTCGACCCTGGGTGCACGTGCACTACTAGTGCATAAGGATGTCACAAACATGAACAAGATTGTGAACTACTGAAGTCGTACTGTGCAAATGTATGACACGAATGCATCGAGACGGTCACGCAGCACGACACCCTCTGCATGCCACGAGATCCTGAGCTGCTGAAGATCGGGGAGTCGCACACACACACACACACACACCCTACATGTACATGTACAATGCTGCTGCTCAATGAAATCCAGTCGCGCCGTCACTCAAGTACGCGACGGGCGCTGCGCAGCCCTAGACCTGCGAACCCTGGGCTGCGAAATGATGCAAGGCGCAAACTTGAGTGACGCCGCGACTGGATTTCATTGAGCAGGACTGTACATGGTTATCATATGATGCATTGGGGGACTCTTTTACTTCCTGCTCTGGCATATATATCGTAAAATACTGTTGTTGTGTTGCTTCCCAGCTGGGTGATAACTAGGTGATATACAACAATGAGGAAGATCAGACTGGCCATGCATACCTGACCTGGCATGTTTGAAGTGTACAGCGCGGTGTATGTACCGTTGCAATGCCGTATTTTGCCATGACCTCTGAGGTCACTCCACGTGTGGAAAATAGACAGGGGTGGATCAACAATACATGTGCAAGGCGGAACAAAGTCAAGGTAGAGTAGCCTACAGCAAAAAGGCTAAGCTCAGGCTGCACGTGGTCACGGTAAGCGATGAAGAGTACTAGTATGGATGGCCCCAACCAGGGACCAGTAAAATACCAGCAAGACAATGTGTTAGAGGTGGAGACACGGAGCATGCCTCAAATACCCGAGTGTGCACACCATGCTAGCCAAAGTCCAGAACAATGCTAGACTTTGGCTTTAACTGTTACGCGCTGCCATCATCACTTCATTGCTTCTCGTCGCTAGCTTCTACTGACAGTGCAAGTGAGGCATTGGATGCACTGGATGACTCGTCGTCTTTGGCAACCTCTTCACTCTTGACAGGCACAAACCGGATCACATTCCAAAAGTAAGCATCCGGAGGTGCCAATGGCTTCTTGTGCCTGTTACACAGCAGTAGCAGAAGCAGCAGAACACCACGGTAAAATAATTGTACACACACATCCGCACACAAACAGGTGCTTAAATTATGAGCATATTGGCAAATGAGTCAGCTATGCAGGAAATCAAAATATGCTATTGGCCCATTCATACGCCTTGATTGTGTTGGCATCTTCAGCGAAATGCAACAACCGAAGGGAAATGAATGCCACCACGCACAGCAAAATATTTAGATGTGTCGACCTGGGTATTGTATATACACGAGTTCACGTTCACATTGAGAGCATAAAATGAGCAACTAACTTGTGTGACTCGACAAACTGAGCACGCAGCTACACACACAATCACATTGCACGCACTTTGTCTCTTGTAGTAGCTCAGTGCCAGACTTGCATCACAGACACACAGATCTAATGTACAATGCGGCCAGCAGTCCAATAAATCATCCGGTGATTGCAAATGTCGCCATGCATACACACAATTCCTTTATCCAGAAATAAAGTGTGTGAAATCCATCACAATAGTCCTATACTGTCATGTACATGTATCTATACAAAGTACTGTCGTGGACATGGAGATCCAGTCGGAGGTCAAGCGGCCCCCAGGGCGCTGGCCATGCAGCCGTGAGTACGCACACGGTAGTAGCTGTGAACGACATCACCTCACAGAAGGCGTCTGGCGTGTTAGCTCGACGAATCATCGCATGTAACGAGATACGTTCTGTACGCACTGAGGGCGCCGGCCCCGGTCACTCGACCGGATTTCCATGCCTACGACAGTAGTAAACTAACTACATGTATATACACTCAAAAAGGCATGGTAAGTGCCAGTCCATGCAGCTAACATACCGCCAAAGGGTGCTACTGAGGCCATTTCCGCCCTTCCTTTGCCGGAGTGCCGGCTTTGCCCTTCGGCAACTTTCGCCTGATCAGCACGGTTCCAACGGTGGCCAGACAATCACCAGTCAGAGGCGACAGACATCCAGATGGCAGCTTCACTATAGTCTTGCCAGTCTCCAGGTCATGGTCGATCACTTGTGCTGCTGCACCAGACGCTTTGGCATAAGCCGTACCATTGTTGGGTTCAGATTCTATGTTGTGTACCATTGTGCCACGAGGTAGTCTCTTCAGAGGGAATCTATTACCTGGCTTGAGCATTTTCGGAGTCACCTCTCGGGTCCTGGAAACTAGAAATACATCGCCTTCCTCCACACCGGCAGGCATAGGAATATACCTCTCGTAAGTTCCAGTTACTATTCTTCCCAATAGTGAGTCCGTTCCATGGTAGTTTATGTTGACCTTGATCAATTTCTCCAAACGCTCACCATGGATAGGATCTCTTCCCAAATCTTTGACATCCTTTCGTTTACGCAGCGCCAAACGACCACCTTTGTACCTTACACCGCCCAGCAAGAAGCCACGGCAGAGCCCAGTGCTTCCGGGGCGCAGCGCGAGCATGTTGGTGCTCTACTAAACCTCCACACACAGGAGTTTCTCTCACATCTATCCAACAACAAAATTCATAAAATCAAACAGTCAACTCCCCTTTGGATCGGCCTTGCAATCTTTTGCAGTTTTGACATCATTTTTTTTTGGCGTAGATCATAGCTGTAGGTGACGTCATTTCATTAGTACGTAACCATGGTAACATGTTGCATGTACGTGAAGAGTCGGGAAGAACAGTGCCGTAGAAAAGTCGTCACTCTGTAGTCATAAACTTTGCTGTATGAGTGATCTACGCATATGCAATAGCAAGACTCCAAAGTACATTTTGTTTGGTTTGGTTTTTATTATTTCAGTTCGTTGCCTCAACAGTACAAAGTGAAAGTACAAATATCAAGAGGGACGAACGAAAAGAGAAAATAAAACAGAGCAGAGAGGAAGATGCAACTGAAAGGAAAGAAAAACAGAGAGAAACGGAGAAGGAATGTGGACGGCATACATGAGCTTATTACACTACAGGTATACTATTGCCGTATTGGTATTATATAACCCAATACTATACTAGTACAATACTAGTATTAGATAAACCTTGTTATAGTTCACACATGTTGTTAGTTTGACAGTATGAGACAAGGTGGAGGACGCTGTGTTCGGAAACAGTGACCTTACTACAACCTTCCACGGTTGGTAGAGCCCCGGTCCGTTGGGACCATCTGAACCATAATTATGGGTGTTGAACCCGGTTCTGACCCTCATTATGCTAGGGGAGTTTCTAGACTTCTCCTAACGTCAGTCGTGTATTCTTTGATCGCTCCTGGATGTCGTCCTGATACTGTGATAGTCATGTAGCTACTTTAACCTGAATTGTTTTTCTTAATTTTTTTCTTCTTCCAACTTCTGCCCATGGCATCCCTCTCTCAGCTCGTCAACTGTCAACAGTCACTGTCACCACCATGACACTGTCATGAGAAGGTGCTCTCCGTAGACGAGGTTGATGATGTCCCGACGCGGCCATGGGAAAAAGATGTTTAAGAAAAACAATTCAGGTTAAAGTAGCTACATGACTATCACAGTATCAGGACGACATCCAGGAGCGATCAAAGAATACACGACTGACGTTAGGAGAAGTCTAAAAACTCCCCTAGCAGAATGAGGGTCAGAACCGGGTTCAACACCCATACGGTTCAGATGGTCCCAACGGACCGGGGCTCCACCAACCGTGAATGGTTGTAGAAAGGTCACTGTTTCCGAACACAGTGTCCTCCACCTTGTTTCATGCTGTCAAACTAACAACAAGGTACAGTATACTATTGTAAGTAAGTTTGAACTAGCTCTGCCTTTCAGTATTGAGCACTCTATTTGGACAGCCTGGAACCTCTCTGTTTTATTGGTATGTATGAAAGCTGTGGTTATGCTTTAGGGAGTAGTGTGCAAACCCGGTTTGGGTATAACTCTTTGCTAGGAGTCGACATTATAAGTAGGGCTGAAACGATCGTGTATTTCACCTATCGATTACTCTTTAGCTTAACGATCAATTAATCGATTATAATCGTTAGCAAATAGTGTCAGAATTTTGAGCAAACATCACTCTGTTTCCAAAAGCTAGGCCTTCGTAATACTAAAAATCTGCATTAGTGACGGGGTAGCTCCGAAATATGGCATGCAGTTTTGAAGTCAGCCTCAGAATATGCGCCATGCCCAAGGCAACTACATACTCACAGTGGAAATTGACTGAAGCTTCACAAAACAAGGGTTTTCAGTACTTTTTGGACTCAAAATCCCTAACGAGTAATCTATAACATAAGTACATAACGATTACTTGATTGATAAGGAATTATCGATCGCTTACCGAGTAATTGGTATAATCGTTTCAGCCCTAATTATAAGTTAGCTTTCAGTACAGCGCAACAAGTGTTAGATTCCATGTGCTCCAATGGAATCACAATGTGCTTGTATGTGAGATGGGGGACGGGTGTTGAAGATTCGATAAAGATGAGCGCTGCTCAAACTCAAGTTGCTCAAGTAACAACACACATACCAAGTGCTCTGTACTGTAGTCTGGTACTGTACTGGCTGAAAAGCTGTGGTACATGCTGTAGGCAAGAGTGCATCAACGGGGTTATGTACTCTTGATGTAGACCAGCTACAAAAGTCACCCAGACTGGTCCAGAGGAGGAGGGTAGTTGCACACATGATCTACAACCACATACTTGCCTGGCCCTGTGGCGGTGATATCGCTTCATTGTGCCTCTCTGTCTCTCTCTCTAACTCGCAACAAACAAATGAAACAAAATAGTCGAAAGCCAAATAATTACTACTTGTTAGACAAAATCCCTAGGGTGTTTGGAGTGTGCGTACCGGTATACATCATACATGCCACTCTTGTTCACCCTCCGTGTGTCCCGTCGAACCCGTTCACGCCAAACACGCCTGTCTGAATGCGCCTTAAGAAAGTAATTCCAAACAGAGTATGAAGGAGCAGCAGCAGCAGCACTAGATTTGTTAAAAAAATAGGACCAACGTCCAAAGATGATAGTTACATGAATATTTCATATTTCTTCCACATAATTATGAACAGTGATGGCACTAAGATGGCTGGGAGAGGGGGGTTGCTCATAAGAAAGTCAGCATGGGTAATTTGACAAGTAACTCAAACCTAACAAGAATATTAAATGCATACAAAAATCATCCCAGCAGCGTGCACTCCCGTCACAGGCAGTCTGAAAAATGACAATCATGGAAAGCCCCAAGCGTTAAAACACGGAATAAATAAAGCTGTGAAAATTGATCCTCGCTGGGCGCGATAGGATTTTCTCCACTTACCGTACCACACTCTACCCGAAGAGAGCACGCCAGTGACACACAGGGCGCAAGCGTGAGGAAGGGGGGGGGGGGGGGGGAGCATGTTCATACTTGGGAAGTATTGCTCACAGTGACAATCGCTTGCACGGACAGCTGGGAGGCTGCAAGCCAGCACTGGATAAGATCTAATGACACTTGCAAGTAAGTCCTAATGAAAATAGAACCTGCCAGCAGCTACACGTAGTTATAACTCCATCTTGGCATCGGCTAGCGGCACTGATCCCGACTCCAGAATGATGGTGTTGCAGCTGGTCAAGCCGCGTAGATTCTTGAGGTAGCGTGTGAAGGCCATGGTGTGCATCGAGTCATAGGTCAGCAGACAACCAATGAACACCAGTATATGAAAGATGGTGTGACTATGCAGCTGCACAGCAGACACAGGCACAACACAGCAAGCTAGGTATTACACATACATGTACATGTACCGTACTTTACCGAGTATACCAGTAAGCCGCATCCAAGTTTCTTGTAAGTAGTTGTAAAGAAGTGCAGACATCTTCCCTATGATTATAACACCGCTAATTTGACCATCGTAGTATAAGACTTTTTTTGGGTGAATTACTGAAGCTTTAAAGGGGAAGTTAAGGCAAAAATTAAAATTTCACCAGTTGTAGTCTTCGGGGTGCTGAGTCGAATGGTCTTGGTCCGAGAAAGCTGAGACGCTCCCTTCCTACTTGAATCCCAATCGAACTCGCGCACTTCCACCGAAACTGGGTGACTGCGCCCTACGAGATGGGGATTTGTATGCAAAATGTCACTAAAAGCGCCATTTCGTTCTTATAAAAGCACGGATGACCGCGATTGGCCCATATGTTGTACTCTTTTGGACGCCGAGTCGACTGGTTTTGGTCCGAAAAGGCTGCGATGCAGCGTTCCTCCTTTATTCCCAATCGAACATGGTTGAAGAAGCGGTCACGTGCTCCTGGGTGCCAAAATCACCTGGTCACCACGCCAGCAGGCGACAACTTTCACACCAAGGTTCAACTCGAATGACAGGACTGCACCCAAAAAAGGTCAAAACAGGCTGTAAGTTGTACCCTGCAGGCACGGTGACCAGGTGACTGGTGTACGCAGGAGCACGTGACCACTTGTTCAACCATGTTCGATTGGGAATTAGGGGCGAACGCTGCATCGCAGCCTTTTCGGACCAAAACCAGTCGACTCAGCGTCCAAAAGACTACAACATATGGGCCAATCGCGGTCATCCGTGCTTTTATAAGAACGAAATGGCGCTTTTAGTGACATTTTGCATACAAATCCCCATCTCGTAGGGCGCAGTCACCCAGTTTCGGTGGAAGTGCGCGAGTTCGATTGGGATTCAAGTAGGAAGGGAGCGTCTCAGCTTTCTCGGACCAAGACCATTCGACTCAGCACCCCGAAGACTACAACTGGTGAAATTTTGATTTTTGCCTTAACTTCCCCTTTAAGTGCGGCTAAGGGCTGGGTTCCACTACGGCTCCGCGGCACTTGGCTGCATGCAGCGGAGCAGTGCGATTCCACTGACACTCGCCATTCGCAGTACCGCGGTCGTGCTCAACGTTTTTTCATGATGTTTTACCTGCCTGCGCCCGCGAAATCGAAAAAATCCTCGTGTTCTGGTCTGCGCAACGAAATTAAATTTTAAATTTTAAAATCTCGTGTATAAAACAATGCAAAAGTACGGGAAACTGGCCCAGGTCGCGGCTCGCAGTTTTCGATCAAGCAGCATAGCGAAAGCTCGTGGCGAGCCACGGCCTAGCTGCACCAGCCCGAGCCGCAGTCACTACGGTATTAATGATGACATTTCATGCCGGGGATGACGTGCAGCGGAGCCGCAGTGGAACCCGACCCTTATACTCTGGAAAATACGGTAATCAGCTGCACACCGTTTCAACAGATTCGACCCCAGCGCGGCAGGTTTACTCTGTCAGAAGCCTTCCAGTCACCTTCCGGCCCCGCTGCTGCATTCGAAACATACTATTACAGTATTACAGTCGACCTACCCTTATAACGATAACCTCTATAACGATATCACCCTTATAACGATATTTTTCTGCCAAACCAAATCACTCCATTGACTTGTGTATACAATGCCTTACCTCTATAACAATATTGCTATAACGATATTACCCCTATAACGATATAAAATGGGCTGACCAATCGACATTTTCCATTTTAGGCCATCATTTTTTATAGCTATGTTTCGCGTCGTCCGCACGCATACGTTTTGATTTTTTTCGGAAAAAAATAAAAAATTAAACATGCACAGTGAGTGTACGATTGTGCGAGTCATCAGTGTGGACAGGTTGCATACGGCGAAGCTGGGATTCAGAAATGGCCTCTATAGCCTAGGCCAGCGTTGGTAAATCGTTTGTTCGGCATCTGGGAGCAATATTCTATGAGCTTACACCAGACCGCATTGATCGCCTAAGCTGAGAGGATGCGTCGTTCCGGAGCTCTTTGCACCGCTGCTGAAGTCTGAGTACAATATTCCAGCGAAGCATAGGCACCAACGGTTGCCTCCTCTGTCCAAAGTGAATATTTACTCATGCTGATAACCCAGATGTTGTGCTTTGATGTACGATTTTTCTTTCGAATGTACACCATGCACGAGCTATTGTGCTATGTACAGTGCATACACCTCTGATGAGCCTTTTTTATTATTTTGCAACTTTTTATTTTTTTCCACCTCTCGCATATGATTCTGGAAGTTGAACTGACGCGAAACATAGATATAAAAAAAGATGGCCTTATAACAATATCTAGCAGGGAATATGTAGAGCCTACTATCCAGGCCAGGTAGGGCAAGCTTCACTTGATAAGTCGTTGGGACATGACGAAATGCAATGGGGCACCAGTGGGCACCTTGCTGTGCACATAATGTGCATGTATGTCAGTTTTTATGCTATGGAGAGTGTAAAAATGAACAAAATCCATGCATTATGACGTATGTGTATGAAATGAACCAGTTACCCCTATGACAATATTACCCTTATAACAATATTTCGTGGTGTGACGCAAATATCGTTATAAGGGTAGGTCGACTGTACTCACAAGCTCAGTGACAGTGCACTGAATGCCCTGGTAATTCAGCAGAGAGGAAGGATAGACATCGATTAGAAACTAGAATCCTACACCCCCCCCCCCCCCCCCCCCTCCAACAGAGACATAAGACACAGGGCAGCAACAACGGCACAATTACAGCACATAGGAAATTTGATAGCCCTTTCCACTCACCACGATGTCACACTTTCCGGGAAAGAAGCGCTCCGGCACTCGCAGCATGTAGATGATGGCGCCACTAACGTAAGAGATGCCCATGTAGATAAGTGACATCATGGCAACATTGTGGCACGCCACAGTCCAGCCATACAGGGATAGGACATGAAACACCGGGACCAGAGACATTAGGCCTGCACAAAGACACAATGGACACAATAAACACGCCACTATACAATGTCGAACATACCACCAGCAACGCCCAGACCCAAGCTCATGACCGTAAACAATGGCGAGAAACTGTCAACAGATGTGTTAGCTCATGCTTCGAGTGACATGCGAAACCGTATATTATTATTATTTAAAACAGAGAGGTTCCAGGCAGTCCAATAGAGTGCTCAATACCGAAAGGCAGAGCTAGTTCAAACAATAATGAGAGGATGAAAAAGTGTTTTAACTCCGAGTTTCATGCACTAAGCGATCATCAGAAAACTCAAAACTGTTATCTGATGATCGCTTAAATAGTGCATACATGTACTTTTCTCACCTGCATTTCTCCAATCTACATTTGCTTTCACATTGCTCGCTGCTCATGTAATCACGCCTCCAATAGTGCAAGCTTTAGAATATAAGTGTTTCTTGTATTAGTTTTAGATCTAATAATGTTCACTTTATGGTACCATAAATATCTTTCCTTTGTTGTCCAACTCTCAGCGTGATGTAGATTTCTGATGATTATCCCACGAAAACGACGTTCAAATCCTGACATATTGTTCCATTGTTCTCGTGGTATGAGTGCGCTCATTTTACTTGTAACTTTCATCGATATTTATTATATTACCGTATTATCTCTAATATAAGCACAGTCTCCAATAATAGCACGTCTCCAATAATAGAACACCTTGGGGCGGCATTCAAAAAATAAAGTGCTCAGTCTCCATTATAAGCACACTGTGTAAATTCATTATCGGTACCGGCGAAAAAACCCCTGAAATGTGTGTGTCATACATGAATTTGGCATGGTAACATTCCTCTGAAATGAGGTTGAAATAATAATGGAACAGTCTCCAATAAAGGAACGTCTCCATTAATAGCACGGGGCGGAGGTACATTGAAAAAATAAAGGACCGTGCTTATATTAGAGATAATACGGTATACGTAATAGGGATGCCATCGGGTAGGAGGGTACCTGTCAAGTGCTACCCGTAATAAGAGTCGGTAGTCGACTAGCAGATTGTGCCTAAAAAGTTAATCGGGTAGTTGGAGTACAGCGTTTTTGCAATGATGCATGTAAGAAGTACGGCTACTGTGTACAGTTTTCTACGTGGAGCAAGTGCACACTCACTGTACAAACACGGTTGTGCCGATCCCGCTGATACAATACCATGTACCAGTGTACTCGTGCCATGTCAAAAATACTGGATAGGGTACCCGTGCTACGCGGATAGAAGTACCCACAGTGTACCAGGGTTCTAGCCAAGGGGGGGGGGGGGGGGGGCGTGAAAAAGTGCCGCCCCTACTCATTTTCCGATTTTTGTGTTTTTTCAGGCCATATTACGAAAATGCAGTCGATAGTCACTACTAAAGGGTTCATAAAAGCACATTTGTCTGGGGTGAAGTCGGGGGTTCGCCCCGTATGTTGCATTTTGCACGGCAAGACAATTTTGGAACATGGAAAAATGGGTTTCGGGGTAGCTGTGTTTCCCATGCCCCCCCCCCCCCCCCCTCCTCCCTACTATTTTGACCTGGCTAGAACCCTGGTGTACTATTGGTGGACTGCAAACCCTCACTGCCCATCCGAGCAGGCAAAAGGTTCACTTTGCCCGCACTCACCTAGACCAAGGAAGATAAATCCGCGGACTCTATGGTAGCCGGGCATGCTGAATTTACTCCACATGGAAACGACCACGCACAGAGATCCAAAGATCACGATGAAGTACGTGTAGAGCGAGCGCACTTCATCGTGACAGTAGAACGCATAGTAGTACCACATGATATTGGAGCCCGTGATCAGTATGGCAATGCCACTGTAGTCCAGCCTGGCCATGCAACAGCACAAGAAGTACACACAACATGTAGCATAAAGGCTCAAGGTGCATAATCCCCAAGAGTGTGCAACTCCACTAACAGTTCTATCCCAACACATTTTTTTAAGTTGACATTAATTTTTTCTGATGCAGTGCGCGTTGTAGACGTATCCTGGACCTGTGCCGTGGTGGACAAAACCCCATAGGATCCTGAACAAACTAGTGCAAGGAAACACGTGTGATGTATTGCCACCCAGCACACACGTAAATCACTCGTGCGAGGAGAATTACATCAAGAAATAACAACTTTAAATAACAACTTTAAATTCTGCCAAGACGGCATGGAGTTGAATGTGTCGCGGGTTCAACTATGTCAGCGGCGTGTTTTTACAACTCAAATCCTATACACGGCAGCCCCCCCCCCCCCCCACCAAGAGTAAACAACTCCCAAGTATGCCATATCCATGATGCAATCCACATGACTGCACACAGAACTGCATTGCGTGCGGTCAACCTCACATCTCATATGCACGGATAGAGTTGGGCTATAACATGGAAGGATGTAATTCTGAAAAGGAGTCGCGACAACACTCCATCAGGAGTGGCACACTCTTCACTTCAGGTTCATGTGCAGTCTTCAGAGTACTAATATTCAGTGAGAAACATGACTGGAGTGGTCAGAAGAAGCCACTGGTCACATACCTGCTGAAGATCTTCGCTACTCCACTTGAGTGTGCCGAGACAGTGTGGAAAATGGCCGAGAACCCCATACAAAGGACTGCACTGCCGAGAAACAGCAAATGTGACAACTGCTCTTGCCATGGCAGCTTGCTAGGATGAAATCGGAGAATATCCTCCCTACAGGCCAACATAAACAGCAATAAACGCCGCACAGTAAGCAGCAATGCAAGATGAAAATGCCGCCACAGGAAAAATTGGATGGGTCAATTCATCACTGCATACACATTCAGGCACCAGCATACTCGGCTTGGCAACACTTCTTACCAAGGAAGTGATACATTGTACATTCGGCTGGAAGAATGCATGGACAACCAGATACACTGTACTAGTGTGACTTTGTCAGCTTGCCGTCAACATCACATGACCGAGAATGCATCAACTTCTCTAGATGTGACGGTATGCCCTCGACTAAAATCTGTCCCCTTGGAAAAACGCGATTCCGCGGCCGCGGCAAATTTCGCAGAAATTGCCATCATCCGCGGAAATCACGGAATCCACACTATTGCCCGCGGAATTTGAATTTTTTAGGATAATTTAGTAAAATTACTACTCAGAAAACAGCAGAAAAACTACTTTGCAATCTGTTTGAGCACATTATGCTCTTGCGAGTGTAGGTGAGTGCAAAATCTCCAAGATTCTTCACTCTCATTCAGTTTGTGACTGCAAACTTTAGTGTGAAAAGTACTCCTTCATGCAAGGAGGGTGAAAAACTTGCAGAAAGTGCCGCAGATTTTTGATTTTACCACAGAAAATGCCGCAGAAAACCTCCCTTTTCCCCGCGGAATTTGCCGCGGAATATTGAATTATTGGCCGCGTTTTTCCAAAGGGACAGTAAAATTAATTGCTACGCAGAAATGTCGTCAACATCTACTGTCGCGGACATGGAAATCCAGTCGATTGACCGGGGCCGGCGCCCTCAGCGCCTACAGAACGTAAGTCGGTGCATGCAGTGCACAACCATGTTGATCCGATGCGGCCAGCAACAGCGATACGTGCTACGGCTGCATGGCCAGCGCCCTGGGGCCGCTAGACGTGCGACCGGATTTCCATGTCCACCACAGTATTTCATACATGTATGTACATGTACACCTTTTTTTATCCCAACAATAGATATCTACTTTTGTACGCAATGGTATTTCGTTGTTCCCAAGGGTATACATAATTTTGTATATGATTGTGTTAGTATTATCAAGAGCAAGGGGGTCATGAACTCCTCGTATTATTACATGTAAGTTACCAAGTTTGATCATTGAGCTAACCTGGATGGGTAGAAATCGATGTACCAAAATACGCCCAGTGCCACGAAAGCCAAAGAGCCGAGAATGTGAGTCCAAATGTTCATAGTTTCAGTGTGCAGCCGAAATATACTCTTCGCACATTGAGAAAAGGAGCCCGTGGGGGATCGGTGCCGTGTGAGAAGATAATTATTATCTTTCAACCAGTCAGGCAAAGCATCGAAAGGAACAAGCACAAGCGACCTGGACTTTTTTACACCGCCGGTATTCGGAGAGCCCGTGGCCTCCTCAGCTTGCGAAGATTTTTCCCTGGCCATCATAGAACTACTTTCCTGCCCACGACTTGGGAGCTGCTGGATTCACAACTACAGCTACAACCAAGAGTTTATAAGAGTTTATGAACTCTTGCTACCAATAAAATGCAATGCCGGTACAGGCAACATAACACTTAACAGCCTTGGAGAAAATCAGAACAACGTTGACCAAATTTTGTAAATGGTTCGACCTCTGCCACTCTGTACTGTATCGCGAGCTCAGTACTACCACACCCGTACCCGTGACAGTAGACTCTACGAACAGTACTACTAGTTCAAGTACTACTAGTACTACTGAGTACTACATAGCTGTCATGTCTTGTCACATGTATGATGACAATGATGTGTATGATGTACGAGCATGTGGTAGTACAGTTATCACTATCAGCAAGAGTACATGAAAACCGGTTTTCATGTACTCTTGCTATCAGTTATCATTGGTTATCAGGTTATAGCTCTTGACTAGTTGTACTGTTGTAGATCTACACGTGGTAGATCTACGGGCATTCCAGGGAGACACATACTAGTACAACATGTACCGCCTACCGGTACGCGGTAGTACCAATAATAAATAATAATTCGCGGGATTCGCGTTGGCATCGCTTGAATGTTCAGAAACACACAAACTAGCCTTCGCTTCCGCAGGCCACCACTATGCCTATGCCTTGCACACCTTAGTGGCGAATGCAGACCTCACAAGTGAGTCAGGGGAGAGTAGGTGAGTCTCTCAACCAATCGGGCGTGTAACGGCCCATAACCCTGTAAACTGCATCCTTGTTACCCTCACTCCGAGCTGTGAGTACCCAGTTGACCGTGGGTGTCGGCGCAGTTCACCACACATAAAAAGTCTTTACTCACGTAAAAAGTCTTTACACGCTCCCTGCTACCAGCGCGGGTCTCGAACTCGGGACCTCATGATTCGCAGGCAAGCCTGCAAACCAATCGGCCATATGCGTTGGTCCACCAGTACCAAGAGTACATAAACCAGAGTGTGCAACTGACTGAGTCTGTGCATATCAGATCTGAAACAGCGCAGTTCGTGCACTACGTCACCCTGATGAGAACAGCCAAGCCGCGACTTGCGTACAGCTCAAATTTTCATGTTTCATAGCCCGGAAATCAGCCAAGTTTGCTTGACTTTAGACGTCCTGTTTCAGGATTTCGGTGTTTTGTGTGACTGTGTACGCTGCGTACATCCACCGACAAGTAAAGTCACCAGGCTATCCGTCTCAAAAAACCGAAACCAGGACAAACTCAGTGACCTGCACCACCGCGACTGGTTACGCAACTTTTCACCGTACCTGTGGCTTACCATGCCGTCAGAAATGACGTAGTGCACGAATTACGCTCCCACAGGAACCATCCCGAGTTGCACACTCTGGTTTATGTACTCTTGGTAGTACTAGTAGCACCAAGAGTACATATCCCCATGGGGTTATGTACTCTTGGTAGCATGTGACAAGCATAGCGTTGTAATGCATAATGCAGGGACAGAAGTACAAACCCGGGCTCAAACCTGGTAGACCCGGGTTTGTAATAATTAAAAAAAGGCATCTGACTTGCTCATGCCACAGCCACGTGTACATGTCCAATGTAAAATGTACATAGCATTTACATACCAGGTAATATCAGCGTTCCAGAGTTTCATGTACAGTACAGGTGTATGCCACGTATCCGGCGGCGGTCGCCGGTCGGCCATCCTGCACAATGGTAACAGGGCACGCCGGCAGCTCATGCATGCATGCACTGTATCCACAGTCCTACTTCAAGTAAATGTGGACAGTGAACATCATGAACGACTTACGTAACGGCCGTTGCCGTTACGCAATGTTACATACAAGACATTACAAGTCAATCTACATGATGATTGTTTACTGTTGCGGACATTGAAATGATCCGGGGAGAAGTCAAGCAGCCCGGGGGCGCTGGCCGTGCAGCCGTGAGCACCAGGGAGTCGTAAAATTTTACGACTCCCTGGTGAGCACTGCTGGTCCATTTTTGCGGTGTTACCATGGTTACAGAGCTTGTACATGGCGTACGTGCTAAGCAAGCCAGTCAGATCAGGGCAACTCCGATTTCCAGCTCAATACAATCATCAGTCGCCCACACGTACATGTAGTAGCAAGAGTACATAACTCCAAGAGTATGCACATGGGGTCTGGTACGGCACACGGCCTCGCTGCATTACGTAGCCACAAACCATGGGCCATTGTGACATTATTGATCTGCTACGGTTTCCTGCTTCCAAATCCGCTTTCCTCAGAGACTTCAGATGGTTTTTGTACGTGATACGCCACACATAGGCATTGCCTTTGAACTTCAAGTACCATGTTGGACGTGAAATCATTGCGGCTAAACCATAGGAAAAATCAAATCAAAGACCTAGTCACTTCTAACAGTATACCCGGTACATGTACATGTGCATGTACATGTGCATGTATATCACTAAAACCGTCAAGCTTTAATATAATCAATCTCTACCCTGCTGTGCAGTGCACACACATGAATGCATCTCTACATAACCCGCGGCAGTGGAACGACTTTGAGAAGTAATGGTACGAAAGGCCTGGTCAAAACAGTTTCCTGAGTGGCTTCTGTGCTGCCGCATGTAACGGTCCACCCTCTTTGGCACTACTACTACGGCACTGAATTGTGTATGTCAGACTGTTCAAGATCAGGTGTAGTTGCTGGACTCTAGCGCAAAACTTGTGCCTCAGTTTTTTAAAGTTACCTTTCTTTGTTTTCAACTGCTGTAAACCCGGGATTGCTTGCCCGTTTTAGTTCGCGAATTGCGATGACAGACTATTTTGTGCCTGCAAACGTTTGCCATTGGAGTCAATTTGATGATTGACTGAGTCTACAGTTTCGTGTGCGCACCCACGTGCTCTCACACACACACATGCTCACAGTCAATTCTGCCGTCGCGAGTCCCATTCGGGACGGATACGAGAATAATAATAGAGAGGTTCTGCAAAACGAAAATGCGTACAAACTTTCGTTCTACGTCATGAAGTGCGAAACTTCGCACGAACTTTCGCAACTTTGGACGCGAAACTTGCAGGGAACGCGAAATGAACTGTCGTACACACTTTCGTGAGATAGGGTCAAGGTGTACGTGCGCTTGGCCCGCGCAAACTACGAAAATGTGCAGAACGCAAAGTTCGTGCAAAAATTCGTACACACTTTCGCAAGGACTGTCGCGAAACTTCGTTCGAATTTTCGTTTTGCAGAACCTCTCTACTAATAACCCACATACTTTCGCGAATAACCCACGTACTTTCGCGACTTCACACCCATCGCGAAAATCGCGAACATTTCAGGATCGCAAAGCTTTTTGGGTTTATAGTATTGGAAGCGGTTACATGTACCTGCTTGGGTACACATACTTTTGTTTCGATTTTGACAGCATGTTACAAGGCGAGGACGCGTAGTGCTCCTGACTACAACCATAACCCGGTTGGCAGAGTCCCGGTCTTGCGCCAACCGGGTTATGGTTGTAGTCAGGAGCACTACGCGTCCTCGCCTTGTATTAAACATGCTGTCAAAATCGAAAAACATGTTAAACTACCAAGCAAGGCTTCTGTATATACCGTACACATACTTGTACCTACTTGTTGTTGGTTGTGACAGCATGAAACAAGGTGGAGGACACTGTGTTCGGAAACAGTGACCTTTCTACAACCATATATCTACGATTGGTATAGCCCCGGTCCGTTGGGACCATCTGAACCATAATATTTGGTGTTGAACCCAGTTCTGACCCTCAGTATGCTAGGGGAGTTTTTAGACTTCTCCTAACGTCAGTCGGGTATTCTTTGATCGCTCCTGGATGTTGTCCTGATAGTCATAAATATAAGTAGCTATTCTAACCTGAATTGTTTTTTCAACTTCTGCCCATGACGTCCATCTCTCAGCTCGTCAGCTGACAACAGTTACTGTCACCACCATGACACTGTCGTGAGAAGGTGCTCTCTGTAGACGAGGTTGGCGATGTCCCGGCACGGCCATGGGTAGGCCTTCACCACGTCGGAACACCCCGACTACACGTTGGTTGTCCCCCACTAGTACCACTGAGAACTAACCGTTAGTAATGTTAGTAATGTTGTTGATGTAACTGTTGTTGTTGTGACGTAATCTCGTACTGTTCAACAAACTTGAATTTTGAATTTCTTCTACAATTTCCTCCACATCCTCAATCTTCAATTTTAAACTACTACATGTACCGCAATTTCATCACACATTTTTGGTAGCTACATGTATGTTCGTACACACTTAAAAAATCCCAACGGACCGGGGCTCTACCAACCATGCATGGATGGTTGTAGTACGGTCACTGTTTCCGAACACAGTGTCCTCCACCTTGTTTCATGCTGTCAAACCAACAACATATGTGAACTAAAACAAGGTTATCTAATACTAGTACTGTATTAGTATTGGATTATCTTGTACAGTCTGTATCGGCTATAGCGTACCCTTTTGATTTCCGTGATTTTATCACTATAACTGATGCATCACTATATGCGATACGATCGATTTTTTTCCGATCGACACATGTACATGAAAGGCAAGGAAATACTTCCAGCCTGGCGTTTTGACAAATGAGCATGCTGCATAGTTGACAGTGCCCGCATTTCCATTAAAAAAATCTGTTATGTACATGACATGTATCACTATAAAAATAAGCAACATGAAGAAAGTAAAAAAAAATAGGGCGTTTGATATTATTGCTACAGTCATGTATTTTAAAGTTATCACTATAGCCGATAATAATAATAATAGTGTGTTATGCATGTTTTGATTCTTTGTTGCCATCATAATATCCGATATATCATTACATCCGATAATATTGGTTATAGTGATATTTTTACTGGATAAAATACGTTTTGCTTTTGATATTTCGTACCAATATCACTGTAGCCGATATGTATAGGATATTGACCAAGACGAGGTCTATATGGGAAATATAGGCCGAGTAAAAGACCGAGGTCCGCCGAGGTCTTTTACGAGGCCTATATTTCCCATATAGACCGAAGTCGAGGTCAATATCCTATTTATCACGATTCCTTTGCCATAACCCCAAAATTTGAACTTTTAGGAGCTATTTTAACCTTTTTAGTATAGCATTTGTACTATAGTGTACATAGGATGTTGCCTATTTTGGGTACAAGACTGTAAGAACAACAGAGTTCAGCATCTGCAGCACAGTGGCTGGGTGGTCTAAGGGGTTGCTTGAGATCCATACTGTTGTGAGTTCAAATCCTGCTTGTTCTCTTCCTTTGTCTTCTTTCTTTCAATTTTTCTTTTTGAAGTGGAGAGAAAAATTCTAAGTCCCTCCAAAGTCGAAAGATTACAATGCCTAAGTGGTCGATACAAGCGGTCGATATAAGCGGTCGATATTGCGGCGATATGGATAATATAGGACCAGTCAAGGATCACGAGAATTAGTGGAGGTCGATATAGAAGAGTGATAAATTCTTATATCCGGTCACTCCGATACAGACTGTACCTACTTGAAGTACTTGGCACTAGATAAACCTTGTTTTGTTCAAATAAGTTGTTGGTTGTGACAGCATGTAACAAGGTGGAGGACACCGTGTTCGGAAACACTGACCTTTCTACAACCATCCATGGTTGGTAGAGCCCAGGTCCGTTAGAACCATCTGAACCGTATGGGTGTCAGACCCAGTTCTGACCCTCTCTATTCTAGGGGCGATCACAGAATACAAGACTGAGGGTACGAGAAGTCTAAAACAACCCCCTAGAATAGAGAGGATCAGAACCGGGTCTAACACCCATACGGTTCAGATGGTCGCAACTGACCCATGCTCTACCAACCATGGATGGTTGTAGAAAGGTCACTGTTTCCGAACACAGTGTCCTCCACCTTGTTACATGCTGTCGCAACCAACAACATGTCTGTACCTACGTGTACCTACTTCAGTACTTGCACTTGGTATATGAGGAGGCTTCGAATAAGTGACGTGTCACTTCGCCACTACATGTACCAGACTACTGCCGTACTAGCACTAGTACAGTGTACTAGTACTAGTACTGGCACACTACATTACTGTAAAAGTCATTATATATAACGAAGTGTAGTATTCTTTTAGTATTCTTTTATTTATAGTGGAGAAACCAAAGTGCTAACTCTAACGAATTAACGAGGAGAAATCTGTCGTTAAAATAGAAATCGTTATACAGAAATCGATACATATACTGTCCTATTGAGCGTTGAGAATGAGTGAAAATCGTTACCTTTGGTACACGTAAACTAGTCAATTTTGGGAAATCGTTTTATATGCGCCTCGTTAGAACAATGGCTTTTACAGTATTACTATTATTATGATTATACACTACTACTACTAGGCACTTCAGGCGATTTTTTCAAAACGAGAAATACGCGTATTTCTTTTTTGTATCTGATTCAGATAGGTTTAGGAAGACTCCACAGAAAATTTGAAGCAAAAAGAATAACTTAGCACAGAGATATAGCCACCCAAAGTCGGAGAATTGAATAACGGCATTTTCAGTATTTCGACGGCACCAGCAGCATATCAGAAATTGGCAGAACTTGCTTCAGTGTCTATAGTGGCAAAATACCAGGCTCGCTGGAAGCAGGTCAAAATAACCAGATGAATGCAGAAACAGCATGGTTTGGAAAAACTCCGGATTTTTCATCCGTCCGGCAGCTCCGACGAAGATATCGGGTATGGTCACCATGGCAACTCCATAGCAACAGCATAGCAACTCCATCGCAACAGCATGAAAACAGTGCAGAGAAGCCTTCGGAAAAGCATAAGATGAGACTTTGAGGTAAGATAAAGTAACTACAATAATTCAGTGCCAGAAAACATTGTTGCTACATGTACAGTACTGACTTGGTGATGAGTACGGAAGAACAATGAGCCGAAGACTGAGCAAACTAGAATTTACCGGGTATTTGACGGAAAGAAATGACAAACTATTACAATAGAACATCGTCTGCAAATTTTTGGGACTACTGAAACTTCAGCAACTCCAGCATGAGAGATTTTGTGCATAGAGTGTGTGCTGGATTCTTGGTATAATATCACCGTCAATGCTTTTCTTGGTCGCTGGAAGCCACCTGCTGATCAGCTGACGATTTGTTCCGAGCAGGCCGTTTTGATGTCAGCTCTCTTGGTCCAGTCGCCGAAGTATATACTGTCCTACTCGTCGCCTGCAGGAGAGGACGACTGCTCCGATGCGACTCCAATAACACCTGGCAATATTTCTTCTTGCGCAGCCATGCGCATGGGCTCCGACGAACAAGGATTATTGCCGGGAGGACGCCTGTCGCGGTTCGCTTCCAATAACACCTCGCATTATTTCTCCTTGCGCAGCAATGCGCAAAGTGTCGGACGAACGAGGACAACTGATCCCGAAAGGAAATACGACGCTGAAGACGATGAGCTACATGGCAAATGCGTGCAACCAAGTGAAATGCCCGAAAAATCCTTGCCGATTTTACTCGAACTGTACGTGAGTTCAAAAAATTGCCGCATCATGACGTATGTGGGCTCAAACGAAAGCTGAGGGCCTCAGCTACATGCTGCGCCACACGAGAAGGCCCTGCGCAGCTTCCGTGCAGCTACAGATCGATCTATGCATGCGCCTTTCCTTGGTGCCACGCATGTACGCGATTCAGCGTTAGCACTTTTTGACAGGTCATGTCACGTGACTGAAGTGCCTACTACTACTCACTAGCTCTGTACAGGACATGCTTGTACTGCATGCACCATGTACCAATGCCAATGGCAATGACAATGACAATAATAATTATTGACAGTCAGTGATCTCATCAGTGATCATCATGGTACATTGTATTGGTAATCATGGTACGCGGCCGTTACCCAGGCTCCTATAACTATGGTAACCTGAGCGAGAGCAGCACGGGATGCGTGCAACAGATCGCGCAAACTGTAAAACTAAAACTAAAGAAAAGAAAACATTGCCCCGATCGACCGTACTCCTCCCTAGTTAGTTCCCGCTTCTTGACGACGCGAGGGAGTCTCACTGACAGTTTTGCTTTGCTAGTCGGATTTCATTTGTTGCGACAACGGCGCTTTGGAACTAGCGAGAGTGAACAGAATAATTGATGATGCATTGTCAACTAACGTTGTGAGCAAGGGGTTTGGTTTCGATTACTAGTAGTACCCTGATCGCATTGCCTCCCATTCATACCCATATATATAGCCATAGCTACGATCATCAAGCAAGAGCACTGCTTACTTACGAACATAGAACATAGACGACCTCTGGTGACGCTGAAGACGGGCAACGCGTCCTGTGCCGTAGCCGCTCTGCCTAGTGCCTGTGCCAGGCATCGCCAAGCGTCGTCAGGGCCGTGGTGACTTCGGCGCTGTTGCCGTGTCGGCAGCGTTACGCAGCTTCGCTTTCCGGTCGCTAGCTGGAGATCTCGAAGCACCTGAGCTGAGGTGAGGTGAGGCCGTACACCTGATGCCAGTGGCAGTGGTGAACGTGTTGCACCTGTGTTCCCTATCCCGACATCTTGGCGACACTGAGACAGTACGGAAGCGGCGAGGGCTGTACTGGTCGAGGCAGCAGCGGTGGGAGCAAGTCCCATGCACCCCGCCATTGACCAATACTCTCTCAGGGCGTGGATACTAACGTTACACGTTTGTAGAAATCAAAACTAAGTACTAGTACGTACTTGAGATAGAATAATTCTGGTGTTCATCGGTGACGTCATCGCTTGAGTCACCTCTACTTGATATACCAGGCAGAAGGACGGACCATTCAGCTGTAAATACCTAGAATGGTCTAGTGATCTCATAGTGCGGCCAAACAGACAAGGCGACTACAGCTGGTTGTTCAACGGGTCCTCTGCCCGACACATCACCAGCACAGTGAGTGAGACTACACACATCGGAGCGGTGGCAGAAGCGACGGCGGAGGCCGCAGCAAGATGTCCAAGAAGCAGAAGCCGGGGAAGGGCGCGGCGGCAGCCCCGGCCGGTCCCCCAGCCGGCTGGGATACCGCTCTGTTGTCAGCTGCGGTCCAGGAGGTAAGCAAGACGTAGAGTGTAACTGTTATTACCAGCTATGTACTCGACAAGCAAATGGGACTGAAAGATATCCTGACTGGTTCTGGTGTCTACCAGAACCTGAGAAATGTCCGCTAAGAGCGAGTGATGGTCTACTGCATTTAGCATTAGCGGTGCATGTCTGTTACTGTAACCATGGTACCCGTGCACCCCGGGTCTCAATTAAAGAGTGAACGGTGATAGCACTACACTAACTTACTGTCTTGTTGTTTAGATTCTGGACTTGGGTTTTTGGAGTGTAGTTTGTATGGGAACAAGAACTGAACTGAACTAGGACTGAAGTGTCTCGTCTGTCCGAACCCAGCGCTAGCAAGGAGCATGGCTGTATATTTGCGCTAGGTGTAGCATCCATGCGCCACGTGTGGCTTCCTCGGCGATACATGTATCATTATGCTTGGCTGGTGCCCTGCAAGTATTTTTGCTAATCAGAGGCAAGAGAGCATGAATGGTCCGAGTGCACGGTGTGTAATCTTTGCTCTGCATCTTGCCTACACACCATGATACCATGACAGGGCTTGAGCACATTCTTCTCGTGCGCTGCGCCACTGGATGCTGAAGATGGCACTGCACTGACGGATCTGCTGTGCACGGCCGTGCGCGACCGGAAGCTGCGACGTCGCTTCCAGTCCATCAGCAGACAGGACATCATCAAACTTGTAAGCTTGGGTATCTGGTTAACTTCTTAATAGTTCTGTAATAAACCCCAGCTAAATAATTTCATTGCTATGCAGCGCAGTGTAGTGCATGGTGCTGGGCGACACAGTGCACAATGTGAGGTGTGAAGTGTAGTGTTCCTTCATTGCTCATGATGATTGTGGATTGACAATGTGGTGATTGTGGACTGACAATGTGGTGGTTGTGGATTGACAATGTGGTGATTGTGTACACTGAGTCGATCTTGCGAATACCGACCCCGACCGGCATGCATGAGAAAAGTGTCGATATTCGCGAGGTGGAAAGTAGGCAGTCAAATGGTGACTGGGTGTGGGGTTATGTTGTTATACCCGAGGTCGCTATGCAGCAGGTTGACTGTATTGTGCGTGTGATGATATACGCGTACAGGCAACGGTGGGGTTGGACAGTCTCAAGGAGCCGCGTCGGCCGTCGCAACCGCAAGCGGCCGTGGAACCGACGCCCAGCAAGCCCGGCGGCCGTGCCAGCAAGACCGGCCGCGCAAGCAAAGCTCCGAAGCAGGCGGCGGGCGACAAGCCGGCGTTTGCGGAGGCAGTGGAGTACGCCCAGCAGCAAATGACCTCCAAGGGCGCAATCGACACGGAAATGGAGGTGCGACTTGTCAAGTTCCTCTTCCTCTACCGAAAGAAGGAGTACATGCAGAAGAGACAGGAAAGAAAAGCGGTGAGTAGAATAGAGTAACATGAGTGTCGCCGTACATTGTAGATGCCTTACAGCCTTACAGCCTTACAGCCTTACAGCCTTACAGCCTTACAGCCTTACAGCCTTGCAGCCTTACAGCCTTACAGCCTTACAGCCTTACAGCCTTACAGCCTTACAGCCTTGCAGCCTTACAGCCTTGCAGCCTTACAGCCTTACAGCCTTACAGCCTTACAGCCTTACAGCCTTACAGCCTTACAGCCTTGCAGCCTTGCAGCCTTACAGCCTTGCAGCCTTGCAGCCTTGCAGCCTTACAGCCTTACAGCCTTACAGCCTTACAGCCTTACAGCCTTACAGCCTTACAGCCTTGCAGCCTTGCAGCCTTGCAGCCTTGCATCCTTACAGCCTTGCAGCCTTGCAGCCTTGCAGCCTTACAGCCTTACAGCCTTACAGCCTTACAGCCTTGCAGCCTTGCAGCCTTGCAGCCTTGCAGCCTTACAGCCTTACAGCCTTGCAGCCTTGCAGCCTTACAGCCTTACAGCCTTACAGCCTTACAGCCTTACAGCCTTACAGCCTTACAGCCTTGCAGCCTTGCAGCCTTGCAGCCTTGCATCCTTACAGCCTTGCAGCCTTGCAGCCTTGCAGCCTTACAGCCTTACAGCCTTACAGCCTTACAGCCTTGCAGCCTTGCAGCCTTACAGCCTTGCAGCCTTGCAGCCTTGCAGCCTTACAGCCTTACAGCCTTACAGCCTTACAGCCTTACAGCCTTACAGCCTTACAGCCTTGCAGCCTTGCAGCCTTGCAGCCTTGCATCCTTACAGCCTTGCAGCCTTGCAGCCTTGCAGCCTTACAGCCTTACAGCCTTACAGCCTTACAGCCTTACAGCCTTACAGCCTTGCAGCCTTGCAGCCTTGCAGCCTTACAGCCTTGCAGCCTTGCAGCCTTACAGCCTTACAGCCTTGCAGCCTTGCAGCCTTGCAGCCTTACAGCCTTACAGCCTTACAGCCTTACAGCCTTACAGCCTTACAGCCTTACAGCCGTACAGCCTTACAGCCTTGCAGCCTTGCAGCCTTGCAGCCTTACAGCCTTACAGCCTTACAGCCTTGCAGCCTTGCAGCCTTACAGCCTTGCAGCCTTGCAGCCTTACAGCCTTGCAGCCTTGCAGCCTTGCAGCCTTACAGCCTTACAGCCTTACAGCCTTGCAGCCTTGCAGCCTTACAGCCTTGCAGCCTTGCAGCCTTACAGCCTTGCAGCCTTGCAGCCTTGCAGCCTTACAGCCTTACAGCCTTACAGCCTTGCAGCCTTGCAGCCTTACAGCCTTGCAGCCTTACAGCCTTGCAGCCTTGCAGCCTTGCAGCCTTGCAGCCTTGCAGCCTTGCAGCCTTACAGCCTTACAGCCTTACAGCCTTACAGCCTTACAGCCTTACAGCCGTACAGCCTTGCAGCCTTGCAGCCTTGCAGCCTTGCAGCCTTACAGCCTTACAGCCTTACAGCCTTGCAGCCTTGCAGCCTTACAGCCTTGCAGCCTTACAGCCTTGCAGCCTTGCAGCCTTGCAGCCTTACAGCCTTACAGCCTTACAGCCTTGCAGCCTTACAGCCTTGCAGCCTTGCAGCCTTACAGCCTTACAGCCTTACAGCCTTACAGCCTTACAGCCTTGCAGCCTTGCAGCCTTACAGCCTTGCAGCCTTGCAGCCTTACAGCCTTGCAGCCTTGCAGCCTTACAGCCTTACAGCCTTACAGCCTTGCAGCCTTGCAGCCTTACAGCCTTGCAGCCTTACAGCCTTGCAGCCTTGCAGCCTTGCAGCCTTACAGCCTTACAGCCTTACAGCCTTACAGCCTTACAGCCTTACAGCCTTACAGCCTTGCAGCCTTACAGCCTTGCAGCCTTGCAGCCTTACAGCCTTGCAGCCTTGCAGCCTTGCAGCCTTACAGCCTTACAGCCTTACAGCCTTACAGCCTTACAGCCTTACAGCCTTGCAGCCTTACAGCCTTACAGCCTTGCAGCCTTACAGCCTTACAGCCTTGCAGCCTTACAGCCTTACAGCCTTACAGCCTTGCAGCCTTGCAGCCTTACAGCCTTGCAGCCTTGCAGCCTTACAGCCTTACAGCCTTACAGCCTTACAGCCTTGCAGCCTTGCAGCCTTACAGCCTTGCAGCCTTGCAGCCTTACAGCCTTGCAGCCTTACAGCCTTACAGCCTTGCAGCCTTGCAGCCTTACAGCCTTGCAGCCTTGCAGCCTTACAGCCTTACAGCCTTACAGCCTTACAGCCTTGCAGCCTTGCAGCCTTACAGCCTTGCAGCCTTGCAGCCTTACAGCCTTACAGCCTTACAGCCTTGCAGCCTTGCAGCCTTACAGCCTTGCAGCCTTACAGCCTTGCAGCCTTGCAGCCTTGCAGCCTTACAGCCTTACAGCCTTACAGCCTTACAGCCTTACAGCCTTACAGCCTTACAGCCTTGCAGCCTTACAGCCTTGCAGCCTTGCAGCCTTACAGCCTTGCAGCCTTGCAGCCTTGCAGCCTTACAGCCTTACAGCCTTACAGCCTTACAGCCTTACAGCCTTACAGCCTTGCAGCCTTACAGCCTTACAGCCTTGCAGCCTTACAGCCTTACAGCCTTGCAGCCTTACAGCCTTACAGCCTTACAGCCTTGCAGCCTTGCAGCCTTACAGCCTTGCAGCCTTGCAGCCTTACAGCCTTACAGCCTTACAGCCTTACAGCCTTGCAGCCTTGCAGCCTTACAGCCTTGCAGCCTTGCAGCCTTACAGCCTTGCAGCCTTGCAGCCTTGCAGCCTTACAGCCTTACAGCCTTACAGCCTTACAGCCTTGCAGCCTTGCAGCCTTGCAGCCTTACAGCCTTACAGCCTTACAGCCTTACAGCCTTACAGCCTTCCAGCCTTACAGCCTTACAGCCGTACAGCCTTACAGCCTTACAGCCTTGCAGCCTTACAGCCTTACAGCCTTACAGCCTTACAGCCTTACAGCCTTACAGCCTTGCAGCCTTACAGCCTTACAGCCTTGCAGCCTTGCAGCCTTGCAGCCTTACAGCCTTACAGCCTTACAGCCTTGCAGCCTTGCAGCCTTGCAGCCTTGCAGCCTTGCAGCCTTACAGCCTTACAGCCTTGCAGCCTTGCAGCCTTGCAGCCTTACAGCCTTACAGCCTTACAGCCTTACAGCCTTACAGCCTTACAGCCGTACAGCCTTACAGCCTTGCAGCCTTGCAGCCTTGCAGCCTTACAGCCTTACAGCCTTGCAGCCTTGCAGCCTTACAGCCTTGCAGCCTTGCAGCCTTACAGCCTTGCAGCCTTGCAGCCTTGCAGCCTTGCAGCCTTACAGCCTTGCAGCCTTGCAGCCTTGCAGCCTTGCAGCCTTGCAGCCTTGCAGCCTTACAGCCTTACAGCCTTACAGCCTTGCAGCCTTGCAGCCTTGCAGCCTTGCAGCCTTGCAGCCTTACAGCCTTACAGCCTTACAGCCTTACAGCCTTACAGCCTTACAGCCTTGCAGCCTTGCAGCCTTGCAGCCTTACAGCCTTACAGCCTTACAGCCTTGCAGCCTTGCAGCCTTACAGCCTTACAGCCTTGCAGCCTTGCAGCCTTACAGCCTTACAGCCTTGCAGCCTTGCAGCCTTACAGCCTTACAGCCTTACAGCCTTACAGCCGTACAGCCTTACAGCCTTGCAGCCTTGCAGCCTTACAGCCTTACAGCCTTGCAGCCTTGCAGCCTTACAGCCTTGCAGCCTTGCAGCCTTACAGCCTTCCAGCCTTGCAGCCTTACAGCCTTACAGCCTTACAGCCTTACAGCCGTACAGCCTTACAGCCTTGCAGCCTTGCAGCCTTACAGCCTTACAGCCTTACAGCCTTGCAGCCTTGCAGCCTTACAGCCTTGCAGCCTTGCAGCCTTACAGCCTTGCAGCCTTGCAGCCTTGCAGCCTTACAGCCTTACAGCCTTGCAGCCTTGCAGCCTTGCAGCCTTACAGCCTTGCAGCCTTGCAGCCTTACAGCCTTGCAGCCTTGCAGCCTTGCAGCCTTACAGCCTTACAGCCTTACAGCCTTGCAGCCTTGCAGCCTTCCAGCCTTACAGCCTTACAGCCGTACAGCCTTACAGCCTTGCAGCCTTGCAGCCTTGCAGCCTTACAGCCTTACAGCCTTACAGCCTTGCAGCCTTGCAGCCTTACAGCCTTGCAGCCTTGCAGCCTTACAGCCTTGCAGCCTTGCAGCCTTGCAGCCTTGCAGCCTTACAGCCTTACAGCCTTACAGCCTTGCAGCCTTGCAGCCTTACAGCCTTGCAGCCTTGCAGCCTTACAGCCTTGCAGCCTTGCAGCCTTGCAGCCTTACAGCCTTACAGCCTTACAGCCTTGCAGCCTTGCAGCCTTACAGCCTTGCAGCCTTACAGCCTTGCAGCCTTGCAGCCTTGCAGCCTTACCGCCTTGCAGCCTTGCAGCCTTACAGCCTTACAGCCTTACAGCCTTACAGCCTTACAGCCTTACAGCCTTGCAGCCTTGCAGCCTTGCAGCCTTGCAGCCTTGCAGCCTTACAGCCTTACAGCCTTACAGCCTTGCAGCCTTGCAGCCTTACAGCCTTGCAGCCTTACAGCCTTGCAGCCTTGCAGCCTTGCAGCCTTACAGCCTTACAGCCTTACAGCCTTGCAGCCTTACAGCCTTGCAGCCTTGCAGCCTTACAGCCTTACAGCCTTACAGCCTTACAGCCTTGCAGCCTTGCAGCCTTGCAGCCTTACAGCCTTGCAGCCTTGCAGCCTTACAGCCTTGCAGCCTTGCAGCCTTGCAGCCTTACAGCCTTACAGCCTTGCAGCCTTGCAGCCTTACAGCCTTGCAGCCTTGCAGCCTTACAGCCTTGCAGCCTTGCAGCCTTGCAGCCTTACAGCCTTACAGCCTTACAGCCTTACAGCCTTACAGCCTTGCAGCCTTACAGCCTTGCAGCCTTGCAGCCTTACAGCCTTGCAGCCTTGCAGCCTTGCAGCCTTACAGCCTTACAGCCTTACAGCCTTACAGCCTTGCAGCCTTGCAGCCT